TAATGCTCAGCTCTTTGCACAAGGGACCCTCAGCCCTTAGACAGGGCCTGCCCGGCAAAGCATTGCCCTGGGTACTCCTCCCCCCACCACCACATGGTGTCAGCTCCATCCCTCTGCCTACCCAGGTGTCCCCTCAGTAAATAATGGAGCAAATGTACCCTTCAGAATCTCAGTTTCCTCACCTGGAAAATGGGATAACAACAACTACCTCAAAAAACTGTTGTGAGGCTTCAATGCTGGATGATATATGCAGAGGACTTGGTACTGTACCTTGTCTGCCCTCTCCTCCTCCTCCTGCTCACCTGGACAATTTCTCCTCCAAAAGCTGTGAAATTGTCTGAGGTTTCATCTCCCAGCAGAGTGAGGCTGGACTGTGTCCCTGATTTGATTTTTGTTTCACAGCCCTTGCATTTTCTCTTAAGGATGCTGAGAGTAAACACACGGAGGCTTAGTGGGGTCTTGGTAAGCATTCAGCCCCAAGAAGTGCCCATGAGACACTGGGTAGTTTAAATTTGCTGAAATGTCTCCATCTGGTGGACTCGCTGAAATACTACAGGGTTCGACCCTGTCTCAGAAAAACAATGGGGCGCCCGCTGGGGCTGCCCTGCCCTGCTCAGAAACACTGCTGGCTCCCCATTGTCTACAGGGTAAAGTCCAACAGCCAAGCCTGGAATTCAAGTGCCTCCACAATCGGTCCCCGCCCTACCTATCGGACCTTATCACAGCTCCGACCTCCTGCCCCAGCCAGGCCCAGCTCCTCCCTGGCTCCTGCCGCAGCCAGGCCCAGCTCCTCCCTGGCTCCAGAACCTCAGAGCCCATTCCAGCCTTGCACGTGGGCCTGCCCCCTGCCCCAGACTGCTCTCTGCCCCTTTCCTCTGCACCTTCCCATGCTAACCCTCCTTCCAGGCTCAGCTCAGAGGCCACCTCTTCCCGGAAGCCTCCTGGGCCCTTCAACCCATCCTATTCTTCCCTGACCTCCCACCAACATTTACTGTTGGTCATTTTCATGTGTCAGTATTGAATGTTGTATTTTGTTAATGCACTGCTCTCCCATATCCAGCATGATAGACTGAAATGAAAGTAAACCCCATAGATCCAGATCTTCATCTGGCCTCTACTATTTCCAAGCTATGATACTATGGGCTCAACTGTGAAATGGAGGTGATATTAAATAACAGCGATCTCATGGGCTTGTTATGAGAATCCACTAAGATAACAGATGCAAAGTGGCCAGCACATAGCAAATGCCCAATAAATTGTCACTAGGGTGGTCAGATAAAATACAGAACACCCAGGTAAACCTGAATTTCAGATTGACTGTTGTTTCAGTATATCTGTGCATCCCGAATATTACTTGGCGTTTCTGTGTAACATTTCACAGATAAATAATGTTAAGGATTATTGTTCATTTTGTTAGATGTGCTAATAAAATTGGAGATATATTGGTGTAGTCAATCCTCCCTGTGCTCAGATTCTGTATCTGCAAACTCATCTACTTGCTAAAATTTATTTGTAACACCAAAATCACTACCTCGTTTTCAGTTATCCACAGCTGTGTGCATGCACAGAGCTGCAAAAAATTCGAGTGACCCAATATGCAGATTCCCAGCTGAGGATGAACAAGGGGACTCTCTGCCTTCTTGTTTCAGCTCTCATAACATAAATATTAATAAGTATGCTTTTTGAGCTCCAGTTAGTGCCATGTTTTTTGCATTTTTGTGCTTTTTCTTGGCGATTTAGCTGTTTTAAATGCCCCCCGCTGCCCCCGTGGAGTGCTGAAGTGCTGTCTAGTGTTCCCCAGCCAAGAAATGTGCCTTATTGGAGAAAATATGTGTGTTAGATAAGCTTTGTTTAGGCACGAGTTAGAGTGCTGCTGGCTCTGAGTTCAGTGCTGATGAATCAACAAGTGAATTATACAAGGTGTCTTCAAACAGAAACACACATGAAATGAGGTTATGTATTGCTCAGTTGAGGAAAATGTGACCAGAGGCTCACAGGAACCCAACCCTGTATTTTCCTGGAAACAAGGGAGATAAAAGTGTGTATATGGAGAGTATAGAGGAAACAAGATACCAAAGGTTGAAGGTTGTGATTTATTAGACTATTCTCTCTACTTTTATGTATGTTTGTAAATGATCATAACAAAATGTTTAAATGCATATCAAGGAGAAAATCTTGAGGAAGAATCTCTTATTCAGTAGCTTTTACTTCAGACCCACTGTGAGGGCTCCAGATAATGTCACCTAAGCTCCCATTATCAGTGAATCCCAAATCCTTCAATGTGTGGGCTGGGATATTTAGGAGACCTGGGCTCTAGTTTCAGCTCCACCTCAGACTTCCTTCCCTTTAGCAACTCCCAGAGCCTCTGGACCTATTTTCTTTTTTTTTTCTTTTGTAGAGACAGAGTCTCGCATTGTTACCCAGGCTGGAGTATAGTGGCACAATCAAAGCTTATTGCAGCCTCCAACTCCTGGACTCAAGCAATCCTCTTGCCTTGGCCTCCCAAAGTGCTGGGATTACAGGCATGAACTACCAAACCCATTCCAGGACCTATTTTCTTATCAGTGAAATAAAGAAGTTGAACTGACAACCTCTGAATTCCCTTTCATTGTTAAAAACCTCTAATTCTGTGCCAGCCGAGGTGGCTCACGCCTGTAATCCTAGCACTCTGGGAGGCCGAGGCAGGAGGACTGCTTGAGCTCAGGAGTTTGAGACCAGCCTGAGCAAGAGTGAGACCCCGTCTCTACTAAAAATAGAAAAAATTAGCCGGGTGTGGTGGCGCACACCTGTAGTCCCAGCTACTCGAGAGGCTGAGGCAGGAGGATTGCTTGAGCCCAGAAGTTTGAGGTTGTGAGCTAGGCTAACGCCACAGCACTCTAGCCTGGGCAACAGAGCAAGACTCTGTCTCAAAAAAAAAAAAAAGAAAGAAAAGAAAACCTCTAATTCTATTAATAAAACAAGTATTTCTTAAATTGGCACATTCTGGTACGATATTACCACCTCTCTCCAGCTCTCTTCCCTGCCCAATCAATACCACTATCCTGTGACTCTTGCCTATGTTCTCCTCTCTTTTGTGCCATTCTAACCATGAAGTTGTTTTTTTTTTTTTCTTTCTTTTTTTTTTTTGGAGACAGAGTCTTACTGTGTCACCTGGCTAAAGTACAGTGGTGCCATCATAGCTCACCGCAACCTCCAACTCCTGGGCTCAAGGGATCCTCCTGCCTCAGCCTCCTGAGTAGCTGGGACTACAGGCACCCACCACTGCACCTAGATAGTTTTTCTGTTTTTAGTAAAGGTGGAGCTTCACTCTTGCTCAGGCCCAGCTAGAGTGCAGTGTATCATAGCTCACTGCAACCTCCAACACCTGAGCTTAAGCGATCCTCTAGCCTCAGCCTCCCAGAGTGCTAGGATTACAGGCATGGACCACCATGCCCAGCCTCATGAAGCTCTTCTGATTTTGATTTATCTAAAGCCTGAACTCCCTAGCCTAGACACGTGATCTCAGTCAACCAAGAGCTCACAGTCCAGTTTAAAAGGACCAGGAAACAGGCTGTGCCAGACTACTGCAGAACACAAAGGCAAGTCGTGCAAGCAGACATCCCCTAGAAGAGGTGCTATCTGAGCTGAGACCTAAAGGATAACCAGAAATTACTGCAGCTAACGGAGGGGAGAATTATGTTCCAGGCAGAGGCAACAGCATTCTCAAAAGCCTGGAAACAAGAGAAAATTGAACAGGTCCAGAATTCAAAGTCTGTCATCATACCTAGCATCATCAATCTTTCCAATAGTATTTGCCACCCTTCCTTGTCACCCATCTTTCCCTTCTGCCCAGTTTGTGCGCTGGAAAGCCTGTGATTTTTTTTTTTTTTTTTTTTTTTTT